TGTGTGTGTGTGTGTGTGTGTGTGTGTGTGTGTGTGTGTGTGTGTGTTGGGGGTGGGGTTAAGGAGAGCATGCCCAGTGAGCTTGGATATCCACAAACCTAGACTAAAAGTCCTTCCTTAGGTCCATTCAACCTTTGATTTCAACATAAGAACCCTGAAGCCAGGCACACTGGGGGTCAGGGTGGGAAAGGTAAAATCTATAGTGGTCATAGCCTTGAAGTAGTTTCATTTACAGATGACAAGGGTATCTTGTAGGGTACAGTGTTGTAGTCTTTTCAAAGTGATTCCACATTCACTTAAATGACAATAATCATGTGAGGTTGGAAAATGTTATTTCCATTTTACAGATGGGGAAACTGAGTCACAGGAGCCAAGTGACCTTCCCAAGGTCACAGAACTAGTGGCACAGAGACCCGACATGAACCTGCCTCCCAGCCTGGGAGACCCACTAGACCATGGGTGCCCTGCGTGGAAGCTGAGGCCTTGTGGGGAGATGCAGGCCAGGGCCTCAGAAGTGTGGGAGCTCAGAGCTCTTTCGGTCCCACACCCTCCTTTCTCAGTTCAGGGCAATGTGTGGAGTGAAGAGCTCAGGTTAGGGTGGCCTGCCCTACCTCTTGGGAGTGTGCAGCCTTTGCAAGCTGCCTAATTTCACTGAGCTGCAGCTTCCTGGGCTGTGGAATAGGGAGGATGTGCCCACTGCTGAGCATGTCAGGTATCATGTGAGGAATAGTGGGGTTGGAAGGCAGGATGGAGCTGAGACCCGAGCCAGTTACTGTGAGCTGGAATCCTGGCTCTGCACACAGTAAGCCCTGGAGAAATATTTGCTATTCCTTCACAGTGATCCATGTGATAATTTAGAGGGTCCCATCCTGGGCCACTTGGCTGCCGGGCAGAGGTGGGACCAGGACTCCAGCTCTGTGTCCACCTTGTGACTTCAGAGCTGCACATTCTTCTTTGGAATTCTGGCCCTGAGTGAAGCTTTGGGGTACTTCCTTCTTGGGGTGAATCCCACCCCATTGTATCTAGACTGAGTGGAAGAGGTACATCTGGGGGCTCTGGGGCAGGGACTGGGAACCACTTCCAAGTGGCTAGAGTGGGCCCGTATCAGGAGCCTTCTCCTTTTTATCAGGGGGTCAAAGGCATGTGGGGATGAGGGAGAGCTCCTTTGGCCAAAGTAACTTCCTCTCCTGGGAGCCAGGCCACTTCTCTTCCCCACTCCCCCTCTCCTCTTTGCTGTTTCCACCCCCAGCTCAAAGCGACAGATACGGGGGTGGCTGAAGATGGTCATGTGGTGTAGGAGGGGGTGGAACAGTGCCAAGTTCAAACAGCATATTCTGTGGTCTACAGAGGTGTGTTGTACAGTTGCTCCACATGTTACATTTAGATTAGCAAATGTTGGTCATTATAGACAGAGGGAAGAGAGAACTGGTCTTGGGAACAAGAGACCCGGCTTGAGGCTCTGCCCCAGCACTTAGGAGTTGTATATGTTTGAGCAAATCACTGGATTTTTATGAGCCTCAGTTTTCTGATCTGTAAAATGGGGAAAATAATGATAATTCCCATCTCAAAGATCATACTGAGGACTAAATGAGGTAATGACAGTGAGAACACTTAGTAAGTTATTGCAAAAATGAAAGGAATTACCCTGCCTAGTCCCCTCCCCTCTGTTCCATACATAAAAGCAACACAACATATTTGTGGGCAGAAAACACATTCTACGTGGCCTCAAATGGCCCCAGGAGGAATTCTCAGCTCACTGTCCTCTGATCCGCTCTCCCTATCCTGCCTCCTTGACTTTGTGCCTGTTTTGCTTCTGCCTGGCATCCACGTTCCCTTCCTCTGTCTCTCCTCTTCCTCCCTGCCCATCTGGGGACTGTTCGGGTCCTGCTTGTCTGACGAGCCTGGCCTGGCCAGTCCCGTTTGGAGAGTCCTCTGCCTGCCCTGAGTCCCCGCCTCCCTGCCCAGATCGCTCACGTTTGCACTCAGTTTGGAGCCCCCGCGTCCACAGGGTCAGCCTCAGCGCTTCTGCTCTCTTGTGAGCTTTGAGAGTGCAGGAGTATCTTATGGTTTTTCCTTCTGCCCTGCACGGTCTCGGGGGACAAGATTCACCTCTGATGATCCCCACCTGCATCAGCCCAGTGCCCAGCTCAACGTGGCTGATGACGGTCAGGGTGGTGTAGGAGGTGGTGGTGGGCAGTGCCAAGTTCAAACGGTTTTCTGTGGATGCGCAGTGAATACCTGTTAAGCAGGTGAACGCATCAGTGAAAAGAGAAGTGAGAGTTCATGCTCACAGGAACAGGGATCATATCTGTTTCGCGCACCATTATGATTCCAGGACCTAGCCCAGGGCTGAGCCCAATTAACCTCTGGTGAATGAATGAATGAGGGAGGAATGAACGAAGTGAGGCAGATAGCATCCTGGACTTGCAATACTTCCCCTGCTTTATGATCCCTGACAACTTGTATTTCCTCATCAAGACTCCATTTTTAAAATCTGTAATAAGAAAATACACTGAGTCAAAGAAGGCAGATAAAAAAGGGTACATATAGAGTAGTTCCATTTATACAAAATTCTAGAAACAGCAAACTAACCTAGAGTGACAAAAAGCAGATGAGCAGTTGCCTGGGGGTGGGGGTGTGGAGGGAGAAGAAGGGATTACCAAGGGGCCGAGGGAACTCTTTTAGGGATGACGGTTATGTTTATGTTGATGGTTTCACAGAAGTATACATATGTCTAAACTCGTCAAGTTGCACACTTTAAATGTAGTATGCATCATTTTATCTCAGTACAGCTGTTAAAAAAAAAAAACAAAAAGGCAAACAGCAAACAAAAACAGGGAATAAAAGTGTATCGTCCGCTGATGAGTCTTCAAAGTTTTGTAAGGACTAAAGGGGATACGGGGATGCTTTGTAAACTGCATAGGTCACGGGAAGGAGGAGGTCACTCTAACGTAGAACTCACCTCAATGCCAGTGCCACGCCCTCATGCTGCAAGGGCTCAGCATATAATTTAGAAAGTGAACGCATCCTGGAGCCAGGGCTGAGTGAGGCTCCCAGGGACACCCAGCAGGCTGCACTTCTGCAGAGCGGGCAGTGGGAAGTGTGCACATGAAGGCAGCCCCTGGCCCCGGCAGGCCGGCTCCCCTTCAGCTTAGCGCTTGGCATTTCGTCTGTTCGGTGGCAGGAGACAAGCCACTGTCTGCACCGGGAAATATCCACTCCTCTGGAGAAGTTTCATTCTACCTTAAATAGGCCTTTGCAATTACCATTCAGGAGCCAAGATGGAAGTTGGTTTTGACCTTGGGTCACCCCCCTCCCCCCATACTGGCCCCCTGGGAGGAGATGGACACTCTGGGTGGGGTGGGGCACCCCAGGGAGGGCTGGGATACTTGGAGGCCAGCTCCCATCGTGCCGGGCAGCATCCCGGAGTCTCCTCTGCTTGCCGTTCTTGATAGCTTTCCCTGAGTCTCGCATCTTTTCATCTGCCCAGCATTCTAGGGCTTCGATAGAATTACCAGTACTCAAGGCTGAACCGTCACCCACAGCTGAAGTGATCGTAGTATTCAAGAGTCTTCTACGACGTCTGATTCCATTCGTAATCTCCGCCTTGCCTGGCACAGTGCTGAGACAACGTGGTGGGTTGAAACAACCTCTTTTCCCCTCTGAACATACTTGTGTTTTCCTCCCTCCAGGCCACTATTTGTGCAGGTCCTGCCATTTGCATCCCTTCCTTCTGACTTGAGCTGAAGATACAGCTTTCCCTAAGGAGTCAGGTAGAGGTACTCTCGCTCTCCTGAGAATCCCCGCACAACGGTTTGGCACGTTATTTGAACCACGTCTCATCTCCCCAGAGCCCTGTCATCTTCTGGTCCCTTGGCATCTTTGTACAGGGAGGATGCTGGTCCACTCACTGTCCCCAGTGCATCTTACACCTCCCCCTCTTCTGACCTTTGCTCCTTTCCCTCCCCCAGAGCCAGATGGGCTTGGGTTTGAATCTTAGCTGTGCGCTCAGTAGGTACATGGCCTTGGGCAAATCACCACCTCCATAAACAACGCTTTCTTCCTCTCCAAATGGGTCTAATCATAGCTTCCCTCAGGGTTCTTGGGGGAAGAAGGGATAACGTATGTTGTGAATAGCACGCAGGACACTTAGCAGGCATCCCTACCGTTTACACCCCGTCTGTGCTGGGAAGCCTTCGAGGCTGCCTGGTGTGGACCACAGTGACTCCAGCTGCCTCCCCGCCCTCTGTAGCACGTCACTTTTGCACCCAGTCTGCGGATGTGGCTTTGTTGCTCTGGTGATCTCTTCCTGGACTAGACTGGGCACTTCCTGCAGGCAGGGTGTGCGGGGCCGGCCCCGTGCCTCTCCCAGAGAGATGTTCCACAGATGTCTGTGGGTCTGGCCGTCAGGTTTGCCGAGTGATACAGAGCAGT